TTTTTTTTAGAATTTATCAATTTTTTTAATATATTTTTAGAATTTTTATATTTTTGTTTTTTAGAAATTTTATTTTTAGAATTTTATGTAAATAAATTTTATATAAATGATCATTTTCCTTATTTTGAGTGTTTTTAGAGATTTCATTGAAAACGTTCAAAACGTTAAAATTGTGTTTTGTGTTTTATGTTATGAGTTTAACATTGATTTCGAAAATACACTTTCGAACATATCAAACCAAACAAATTTTGGTTATTTCCCAAAAATTAAAATTGAAAACAAAAAATCAAATGAACTCCCATATTTTCATTTTGAACTCTATAATCAATTCGTTTCTAAAATTTAAAGATTTTCCTTACTTGAAAACTTTAAGTAACCTATAAGGAATCTTTTGGCCAAACTTCAATTAGGAATTGCACATAGATAAGGTCTTTGTTGTAGAATTCAATGACCACGTTTGGTAGGAATTAGAATAAAGATTAATAATTTAATCTAAATCATATATTTCATGGTATTCACAATTTTTCAACTGTACATTTAGTCAAATTTTTATCAAAATTGACAATAATCCTCACCAAGTTATTAGAGTTAACTTGTATTAAATTTAAATAGATTTTCTAAACTAAATATTGAATTTAAAAAAATAATTTATAATTTTTTATACAATGTTCCACGTTTTTTGTGGTGTCTTATTATTATTATCTTAAAAATAAAATTTTCATGTCATATGTCTTTTCTCGTTTCCTTTTCAATTTTCGTGCAACCTGGTAGGTTTGTGACTCTCTAATTATTCTTGGACAATGCTATATGTACATCCACTTTTTTACATAATTTTTTTACCTACATTCACAATAGAGTGTGGGGACCACACATTTGGAATTTTTTTTTATTTATGCTGTCCCCTCGCGCACGTGAGAGGGTGTAACATTTTCGATACATAAAATTCGGTACAAATGGAATTGTCCATTATTTTTTTGGTATCTTTTTATCATCCAATTATTGGATCACCAAACAAATAGAACATACTTCCTAAATCATAGATTATGGTTATTTAGAGGAAATTGCATTGGAAGAATAATGAGAAATTACATTACTGATGAAAAACAGCTGAATTACTTCCAAATTCCGTTTAGTTCATCATTGAAATGCAATATATGAAGAGAGATAACATACTGCATGTAAATCACTTGTGCCAGAGGCATGCACTTATTATTTATTTAGGCAGAAAACATGCAGACTCTAGATTTTCAGTGTTAGATGAGAGTCACCCAGGACAAAGCGCCCGGAACTAAAACGAGAAATTTCCCAAGCAAGGCATCAACTGTGCTAAGCACGACAACAGGGATCCTAAGAACTCCAGTGGGTATGTTCAAAATGCAGGAGTTGGGTGGTAGTGTGACATTTAGGTAACATTTTCCAGGGTCATTCAAAATGGTGTCAAGAGATGTGAATAGGAAAGTATAAACTCCGGCGGTATCAGTTTGAGTTGATTTGATCACTGTTGGTAAGGAGGTGCCTCCTGCTCCACATACAACATCCACTTTAGCTTGTGGGATCACGCTATAGGTTCCGGCCACGGCTATCGAAGTGTTGGTACAAGTGAGGACGCCACCAAGAATACCGCCACCAAGCAGGTCGGCGTTCGCTAATGGTATGGTGGCAGAAATTGAAAAGAGAGTGATGATGAGAAGTGTGGTGGAGGAAAAGGCCATTTTACTTATCAGTTAGTTTCTACACTTATTCTTGGAACTCATTACCTTGTAAATTTATAGCAATTCAAGTAGAGAGATAGAGGGGTTTTCAGCTTTCTTAGCTTAAAATAGCATATCTTGTGTATCAACTTGTTTTCACTTTTCAATTTTTATATATTGAAAACATCAAGAGAGGAACTCTGAAACTGAGTTTGTTTGTTTCCTTTAATTCCCATACCTTGTATGTTCTTTTTTGTAACAGCATCTTTCCATGGACCAAATCACACCTTCATAAGCATTGAGTTGCCCACTACCACATTTATCTAATTATCAAATACTACTCCTTGATATAGCTACAGTGCAATGCACTCCATCACATCATTTGTAACATAGTGGATAATCAAATTGCCTGTTAGTTTTCAGTATGGACATGAAGCCATCACAGTACATAATAATATATATAGAATTACAGAAAGAAGAAACAGGAAATTAACAACTGAATGAAAAAAAAAAAAGAAACAGTAAAGGGAAGAGCAGATTAGCAAATCGAGACCTTTGTAATACACAGTATCCTTAAAATTGAGCACCAAGTTTGTCCATTCTGCGACTAGTAGCTAGCGTTTGATTGTTTTAGTCCCTTATTAGCTATCTTTCTTTCTTGCATTCTCGTAAAGTTGAGTTCATCGCAAGTTGTTGATGATATATGAAAGATACAAGGTACGGGGAATCACCATAGTACCCTTTTTTTTTTTTTCCCCAAATTTCTCAATATCCATTGCAGTTTTAAATTCCTTCCACTCAATAATATCTTAACTTCTTTGTGTCATTTCAATATAGAAATGGAAAAGTGAGACCAAACAAGTTTTTCAAGGAAGTAGTGCATTGATTTTATATCTGGACAACAAACATATGGATCAATACTCATTACCCAAAAAAACCCCTTCTTTCTTCTTTATTTCTCTATAAATTTGCATCGTTTTCCAAGAATAACAATAGAACTAGAAGAATTAGCTTATATCTAGATCAATCATCTATATTATAAGAAATGGCCTTTCCATCCACATTTTGATGTGGTGAAGAAGGAATTAGACTTCATGGTAAAGTAGGACCGGCGCAAACAGAAATAAGCAATTCTCGATTTTTGGAGAAATTTTGGAAATGTCTGTTTTTAGCGAAATTTTAGTCAAATTTGAATGGAAACGGACTGATGAACAAGACTCAGTGGCTTTGCTCCTGATGCGGGGCCAATTTCGGGCAAATTTCTTCATTTAGGCCTTTGTTTATGCCTTTTTTGGTAATTTTTGTTTTAAGTATATCTCAATTAAATAAATTCATATTTGAATTCCGTTTGTTGGAGGACGATCATGACGTCTAGGACTTTCAAAATCTGTCATTATCTCGATTTTTTCCAATTTTGGAAAAAAATATTTCTTTATTATTATGTAATTTTTCTGAATTTTCTTAGAGTTTTCGCTATATAAAGCATTGTAAACCTTTTGACGCCGCATTGGTTGAAAGAAATAAAATTTTCTAGAGTTTCTATTCATTAAAATTCTTTGTGAAATTTTCCATATTTCCTATAAACTTCCGCTACGTCAAATAGAGAACGAGAAAAGAAAATGGTTTACATAATTATAACCGAATGAATGCTCAATTCAAAAAGTTAGAGAGATGTTGCAGTTGTCACTTGTCAACAACAAATTCTTATATGGTAATATTCATTACTTGGCACCAGAAAAACTAAAACGTTAGTAACTACAACTTGGCAGCTTCCTTTTCCAGTGGCCAAAATCCAGATACAGTTTTTAAGCACTAATTGAAAATGGTGCGCAAGATACGTAAAAGTCCGAACAAGTTCTTATTTGATGAGCTTTTAGGCAATCAGTTTATGGCAAGAGAGCTTTAGCAATAAAATTAGCTAGACAATATGCATCCTGTGGCATTCACAGAGTTTAAGTCGACTTAGTTTTGCAATCTACAGAGAATGATACTCTCAAATGTGAAATTTTCATCACCTCCTAAAAAAGCAAAGCTTTCCAAAGAGGTAAGGTAACTTAATTCATCACAAGTCACAATTATATGTTACAGAAAACTCAGTGAAGTGTGTCCCTGATAGTAAAAAGAAATTTTGTGTCCAATGCTCAATGGAGCTGAACAACCCAAGGGAAACATGCATACTTGATAAGTTCCAACAATTTAGAAATAACACCAACAAAAAGTCAGTTTCATGTCCTGATCTGAGATAAAATGATTTATCCAATAACAAGATAAAAGAAGAGCTGTTAAACCGAGTGGTCAGCAATGACAAGCAGAAACCATAAATTATTAAAATATAATAGGCTTCAACAAGCTTAATTCCAAGTGCATGTCTGTCTGTCTCAAGGCAGGTTATTCAATTCAATCAGAAGTACCGTTTCCAGGAAATTGCACAGAATAAAATGAGTTGAGATCATAGAAACCTTCAAATAGGCAAAAATCTCATCAACTCGTGCAGTTTCACCTGAAAAATATCACATCGAAGGATGAATAGGCAATCACAGTTCAAATTGTGTTAGTCTGGAAATCACTAACAAGAGCTATACTCGTACTACAATCAGAATATAACACTATATACAGAAATCAAAAGAAATAAAGAATAACAGATGAAAGCTTCCATTCTTTACACTAATATTTGGAACCAGAGATTCACTAAACTCTTCCAGTTGCCGAAAATGACAGTGAACTCAAGGCTGAAAATAGAGCCCATAAAAGGATTCTGCTTGGAGGTGACATTTCAAGAATCAGTCTAGAGTTTTAGTTATGTAGAATGAAATTGCGAGAAAGACTGCATATTATTTAGGATATTAGGCGGAGACATGCACATATGACTTGTACAAATGATTGATTATTTTTTATTCCTTTTCAATTCATCATTTGTCAAGGCCACTACACCAAAAATCACATTTTGCAACGGCCAAAAAACGTTGCCAAAAGTCATTTGCAGCGTTTCAGCGTNTTTAAGTATATATTAGTAACTTATGAATATGATGTAAGTTTAAAAATTTAAGTAATAGCACTAGAATCAGACCAAATCGAACCAGAACCAAATGGTTCGGTTCAGCATCTTAAAAAAAAATTATTTGGTTCCATTATCAAAAAAATTATTGGTTCATTGTTCGATTCGATTCGATTCGATTCGATTCTCTTGAAACCAGAACTAAATGAAACCACGCCCACCCCTAGAAAGAAGGATTTCTGAATGGTTTCCATCCCATATTTGGTCATGTCAACATGTTAATTAAAATAAACCATCTATTAAAAGTATTTAAAACAATTAAATAGAAATGAGAAAGAAAACAATAAATAAAAGGGTAATTAAATACACGCTTTTTGTATGGTTCACTACATTTTAATTTTAATGAGGTCCTTAATTTTTACTACTTATTGAATTTATATTCTCGATTTTTTTCATCAAGTTCTTAATGAAATACAACTTTTATACTGCCAAATACTTCCAACTTATGCTTCCAATCAATTGTAGAGAAATACTAAAGAGACACAATGTTTGCTATTGAATTTTATCCACAAAAAATTGCTAATATGTGTTTAGGTCTCACGCTGGGTTGAAATTAGGCTGATTCATAAGAGGACTATCGCTCCTTACAATAAATAGTCATTGTAGGGGCTCATTTGGGAAGGTGTTTTTGGGCAGTGTGGAGAGGTTTTGCGGCGATGGCGGTGGTAATGGGCTGAGACCTTGTTTGTTTGCTCAGGGGGTTATCGAAGATCAATGTTCTAAAAAGTGTACTTAAGAGGCACCTAAGCGTGAGGCGCGGAAAAAGCGCTTTGCCTTTAAAGTAAGCGCACTTTATTATTCTTTTTCTTTTTAAAAAAAACCTTTTTATTTAACTTTAGTTTATTTTTTTTTTCTTTTTTAAAAAACTTTCATTTGACTTTAGTTTCAAATTTTTAAATGATCTTATCTGTACATAAATAAAAAATGACTTTATCCTATAAAGAGTGAAATAAAATTTAAGTTACAGTATTATTTACATTATGTAATTATGATTTTAAGACTCATTATTTTATTGAAAACTTCAAAAGCATATATAAAGTTTTTATAAATTTTTTAATTATGATTTGTTTAGCTGAAAATTGAAAGTATGAAAAATAGTCTAATTTTTGCATTTCAAAAACTTGAAANTATCCACAAAAAATTGCTAATATGTGTTTAGGTCTCACGCTGGGTTGAAATTAGGCTGATTCATAAGAGGACTATCGCTCCTTACAATAAATAGTCATTGTAGGGGCTCATTTGGGAAGGTGTTTTTGGGCAGTGTGGAGAGGTTTTGCGGCGATGGCGGTGGTAATGGGCTGAGACCTTGTTTGTTTGCTCAGGGGGTTATCGAAGATCAATGTTCTAAAAAGTGTACTTAAGAGGCACCTAAGCGTGAGGCGCGGAAAAAGCGCTTTGCCTTTAAAGTAAGCGCACTTTATTATTCTTTTTCTTTTAAAAAAAAACCTTTTTATTTAACTTTAGTTTATTTTTTTTTTCTTTTTTAAAAAACTTTCATTTGACTTTAGTTTCAAATTTTTAAATGATCTTATCTGTACATAAATAAAAAATGACTTTATCTGATAATGATTAAGACAAGATTTAAGTTACGCTACTATCTATATTATATAATTATGATTTTGAGACTTTATCGAATATTGTTGGGAACTTCGAAAGTATGTATGAAGTTCCTATAAATCTATAAGTAGTACTTGTCGAGTTGAAAGTTGAAATTATGAAAAATAGTCTTAACTTTTGCATTTTCGAAAGCTTGAAAATTATATTAGTATAATTAACTAATTGTAGAAATTATTAAGTAAATATAGAATTTTTTATTTTAGATGTTTTGTATGTACTATTTTAATTATTAATTAATTTTTAGAATTATTAAGTATTTAAAATAATAATAAAATAAGTAACTTATTTTTACGCCCAAGCTCTTAAATGTTGAAGTTTGGTCGTCACATTTAGCTACGCTTTACGCTTTTTAGAACACGATTGAAGATGATGCATTTTCCCTTTTTGTTTTTACTTTTTTCTCTCTCTCTTTTGTTTTTAAGCCCCTTTTTTGTAGCTTAAAACATTGATAAAAATTTAAGTTAAAATCAAGAATTAATTTTAACTACATATTTCGAGGAATTCATAATTTTTTATCAACGTTTCAATCATATATTTTATTAATTTTTATCAAAAATTAATTAACACATACCAATTTATTAACCTTGAGTGGTTGCTCAATTGATCAGGCCTTAAATTTGTTCTTCAATGATCAGTCTACTTCATTTGTTTCTTAATTAGTAAAAATCTGATTTTTAAACGTGGGCTAATTGTTTTAATATAAAATATGTATTGACTCATTTGCCCCTCTGGTCAACTACAATTCACTTGTTGACTTGACTAATATTGGACAGAAAGCAATCCAAAGGAACAGCTGCTACTTTTCTAAACGTCAGGGCCTATGGTGTCCAAAATAAAAGTTTTAGGAACCATTTGCATATTTTGAAAGGTAGGGACCTCAACTGCAATTTTCATATAAATACATAGAGGTAATTGAATTTTAGGTCCTTCAACATATTATCCAAGTAGCAAGTTGATCTACTTAAAGAGCAAATTTTTCTCCACCTTTTAATATTGTTGCCAGTCCACTTGTTCAATTTTATAAAATTAAGTTTTATTTTTCAAGTGAGAATGATGCTCAAAACTTTTGAATAAGATAAAGAAGAACATCAACTTGACACTGCAAAAATATTAAGGAAGATTTTCATAAATGTCACTAAATTTAAAAATTTACAAAAAAAATTTCATGTGAACTAAATTTGTTCAAAAATATCGTTTTTTTCTTGTCAAATGTGCAAACTACCCTTGATCACCTTCATAAGAGCAATTAATACTTGATTGGAATGTCATTAATGGTTTGATGTGATGATTACATTTTGATTATTTTATTCATTTTATATATGTATATTTAGGGGAAAAACGTATTTTCTTCCAAAAAATAAATAAAAGAAATTCAAAACCTAATTCCCAAACCCTAAGTCCTACATCCTCCTTCATTAACACATAGTTTCTTCCAAGAACTTCATCTTCTTCATTCATTCTTCAATAATACATGAGTATTTAATTGATCATTCATTTGAAGAAGTTAGTTTTTACAAATTGTTTGTAATTTCATCTCTTAACTCATTATTTCGTAAATATTAAATACAATATGGTGATAATAAATTATTACTCATTGATTTCTTTGATTTTTGAAATTTGTTTTGATGGTAAAGATATTTTGAATCGTTCATTAAATGCGATCGATTCCATATTTAATGAAACATTGGCTTATTTTTTTAAAATACATTGTCATGTTGAATGAGAATTGATTATCACCATTAATGTTCTTCAATAATTTTCTCCTAAAAATTTCTGAAATAACTGTTTTGAAACCAACCCAATAATTCGTACTGAAATGGTCGAATATAGTGTTTCAAACCATCGAACCCCGACAGTTAAACTGCCGATTCGACAGTTTACAAACTATCGGGATACACAATTCAATTGTTGATTTCGACACTTGAGAACTGTTGAAAACTTTGATTAGCTGTTTTCCACAATTGATAGTATTCAATGTCGATATATTGATTGTGCAGGTTTCTTGTAATTACAATCTCAACATTTCACGTATGAGTAATGATTTGAGATTCATCGTCTCTTACAGGGAAAATTTTGCAAATGTGGATGACGAATGGAAATGGAGAGGGGACAAAACCACTTCCATTTTAGTGCCGACAAGTATTACTGTAGTCGGACTTATTTTACAGTTGAAGAAAAAACTTGGTATTCTTGATCCCCACACCGATAAGCGATCCAGATACAAGTTTACCACATAACTCAGAAAATGCATTCGTTGGGATAGAGTTGGTCATAACTAGACCAAATGTTCAAACCCCAATGTAACACAACTCACGTAAACCGACTTCATGTCCGGATGTGGTTAAAGTTGTAATACGAAATGTTCCCCTTGCGTTGTACATTTTGAACTTATATTATCATTTTCTTTTCATTTTTACTCATAATGTTCACATAACAATTACGTATCCTCATGTCGAAATACAGAACTACATGCGACACTTCAAGTGTCGATCCCGATTAATTATTTATGTCATTCTCCATATAGCATGGTGTTTCCCAACACATTCTCGACTTCCATTCAACATTTGAACTGATATTATGATTATCATTCCTCTAGCGTTTGCGGAGAGTAGAAGAGATATTTTAGACACGAGCACAATACGTAGACATAGATAAGACATCGTATAACATCCCGACAGTTCATGTGTCATTCCCGACAGATTGTCTCTATCGTTCTCGACACTGGCACATACTAGAAATTATAAGTACACATACGATGCATAAGGGACATGCTTTTGCCTCCCCGTTCGGTAAAGACCGTTATTAAATACATCTCTGACAAAAAAAGTAAAAATGCAAAATACTGATCCACATACAAAACATTTCATAACATCCTAACATTTCATCTGTCGTTCCCGACAGATTGTCTATGTCGTTCTCGACAGTTGGCACAGACTGCAAACTGCAAGTACACATACGATGCATAAGGGACATACTTTTGCCTCTCATTCGGTAAAAATCGTTACCAACTACATCCCCGACAATGGCTAACTAAAAATTAAAAAGGCAAATACGGTTCCATATACAAAACATTGCATAACATCCCTACATTTCATCTGCCGTTCTCGACAGATTGTCTATGTCGTTCTCAACAGTTGGCACATACTGCAGATTTGTGACACATACGAAGAAAAGAGACATGATGGTGTCTCCTGACTTGTTTTGTTGCAATCAAGCCCCTACCGGCGCAGCCACGACTTGCTTCACTTTCGGGGGTTTTCCCCGGCCTCTTGGCACCCCACATGTTGCTCCAATGGATGTAGAAGAAGACGAAAATGAGCTGTCCAGTGAAGCATCTGAGCATGATTTTGGAGGGAGTGGATCATTAGTCTGGTGTTCTTCATTCGTCATATCTACAAAACTAAAAACCTCAAAACATAAAATTTCGAATTGTATGGAGAAATAGAGAATTTTGAGATAGAAAATATTTTTAGGGGAGGGAACCATGGAGCTGGTGAAAATTTGTTGGGCAGTGGAGTGAGTTTAGGGTTTTAAGTTTCTTGTTTTTGTTTTTTTAAATCTCCAAAAAATTATGACAACTTACACATTTTTTTTTCTTATTTCTAGTCTAGTCAAATCTCATTTATTGAAGGCATGTTAGGTATTTAATTTATATTAAATCTCCAAAAAATTATGACAACTTACACTTTTTTGTACAAATGTCTAGTCTAGGCAAATCTCATTTATTGAAGGGATGTCAGTAGTCGTGGCAAAAAAGCTCGCGGCTCGGGCTCGGTAGGGCTAGGTGGAACCGAGCACAGGCTCAGGCAGAGCCCCATTTTGGGGGGTCGGCCCAAGCCGGCCCGGCCCGACCCGACCCGTGATTAATTAAAAAAAATAAAATAAAAAATTTAAAGCTAAAATAGTTGAAAAAAATTAAAAAAATAAAAAATCGAGCCGGCTCGGGTCGAGCCTTATTTTTTTTGGTCGAGCTCGACTCGACTCGACTCGTTGACATAACTACATGTTAGGTATTTAATTTATCTACAAGGATAAAAATGTCCAAAATTGACAATCTTACAACTACTTTTAAAATGTGACATTTTGATAATTACATGGTAGCAAAATGACATACAGTGTAATTTCCTCAAATTATTTATATTAATTACATAATATTTGTAAAGGATAATATTTTTTAGTTTTACCAAATTATTAGTATATTCTCCTATGAGAAATGGTATAGTAGGCTAATAGCCTAAGTAAAATAATAAAATTGTCAATTTTGTTGAATTTGTCAACTATTAAGGGCGTGTTCGGTAGAGATTAAAATTAAATTAAAATTGAAAAATTAATCGTTATTGTTGACTTTTATTAGACGAGTGAGACTCGGCCATATTTTCAATTTTAATTGGATTTTAAGTTGTACCAAAGATTTGTCAAATATATTTACCTATAAATCAATTAAATTGTCAAATAATTTCATTAATTTTCTTTCAATAAATTTTACGAATTTATAAAATTAATCTGAAAAACTTGCTTTTGGGGATTCATATGATTGGAAGTAGTTGAAATTATTAGCAGCAGGTACCCACATTGATGACATATTTTATCGACTCAACCTTCTGGATTTGTCTGCTTCTCGTGCTTTGCTGGGTTGATCCCTTTCTCAGGTAACTTCGATTCTCATTTTTCTGTACAATTTTCTGTTTGAGGTATAAGTTTGATAGTGGTTTTTAGCGTTTAATTCCTGTGATGAACAGTAGAGATTACTTTTCTGGGTGGAATTATTATCTTGATCCAATATCTTTCTGTTTCTTGAAGTACTTGTTCGTATTCGATATTTTACTATATTGGAATTATCCATTTTCCGTAGAAATGAATAGCCATGTGTTCATTCCTGATGGGATTTTATTGTAATTATGAGACAAATAATTTTAAACTAAGACTGATTTTATCTAATTACTGTATCCCTTTTAGACCAATTTCCAAGAAAGCAGTGGAGAAATAAGTAGTTTGCTGGTATATTTGTTGGCTCAGGCCATGCACCAATATTTGTTGACATATGGCGTGAAGTATTCACTCCAAAATGTTATCCACACACTAATCTGTACTCTATAGAAAGGCATATGTGCAGAGCCATCGCTTGGTTGCAATTTGGGTAGTATGTTCAATTTCGAAAAGTTACATTTTGCAGTCCTTATAATCAAGCTTATGCTTGTATCTGTTAATTGCAAAAGGCACAATTACAGCATAAATTAAGTCTTTAGAAAGTTAACACAGTCACATGTTCTAGGGTAAATGGCGTCTGAACCTGTCAATGTGAGTGAATTTCAAGAACTCGCAAGGCAAGCCCTTCCCAAAATGTACTACGATTACTATGCTGGGGGAGCTGAAGACCAGCAAACGCTTGAAGAGAATGTCAAAGCATTTCATAGGATCATGTAAGTTCTAATACCTGTTAGTGTTAGGATTGATTACCGAACAGTGTTACGGTTTTAACATGTTTTTGTATGACTCAGAATTCGTCCAAGAATTCTGGTTGATGTGAGCAGGGTAGATATGTTGACAACTATTGTGGGTTGCAACACATCGGCCCCCATTATGGTTGCCCCAACTGCCATGCACAAACTGGCACACCCTGAAGGTTTATTTATATTTACTTATAATAGTATTTGATTGAATATTAAAGCTAGATTCAAACTTGAGATTCTATTTATTATAGGAGAAGTTGCAACAGCGAGAGCAGCTGCTTCTTGTGACACCATAATGGTAATACTTAAAAGAAGTCTTAGCATATTCTGAATTTCTGAGGTGCTCAAATTTTCATAGTAGCCTTAAATTGTAGGTGTTGTCCTTCATGTCAATGTGCAAGATGGAGGAGGTTGCTTCCAGCTGCAACGCTGTCCGCTTCTTCCAATTATATGTATCCCTCCATGCTCTTAATTTCGAAAACATATCTGAATTCACATTTCTGGTTGATTCAACACATTTGGCATCTGTTGGCAACAGGTGTACAAAAAGCGTGAAATATCAGCTCTGATGGTGCAAAGAGCTGAAAGAAATGGGTTCAAGGCTATAATTCTTACTGCTGATACTCCTAGACTTGGTCATAGGGAGGCAGACATTAAGAACAAGTGAAATTCGATACCTTTTCCGTTTGGAATTTACTGTTATTATTGTTTTTCTTTTCTTCTCCACTTATACAGAAGAATAGTTTCATACATTTCCCTGCTATACTTGCTTAGTAATTCATGATAACTTCTACAGGATGATTTCACCTCAGTTGAAGAATTTTGAAGGTTTGATTTCCACAGAAGTTCACACTGTGAGTGAAATGGAATATTCTAATTTTTGTTGTTGAACAAAATCAACTAGAGAGAATTACCTATCTTTGTGGCATAAATGAAGGTGTCACATCCCCTATTTTTTCGTTTATAGAGATTTGGACAATGACATTCTCATGCTTCGAGGAACTTCATCAAGAAAATTCCCATTAAGAAATAATGATAAACCTTTTTTAATGTCTATGAGAATGGGAACTAACATGTTGTCGCATGGAGATAATTCCCAAAAGGAAGGATAAGACTTTCTAATAATGATAAGATTTAGAAGATAAACTAGAAGGAACTTATTGACAACGAAAACAAGAAAATTCATATAATTAATTAGGCAAGTATTGGAGAGGGGTGATTTGAACCATCGGGCATGTTCAAAATTTCCATATGCACAGAATATGGATGTGGGTGTGAATGCATATTTTTTTAATGGGATTAGCTTGAGTAGTAATTTTATTTTTTTATTTTTTGGTTTATTAATGTATATGCAGGATAAGGGTTCAAATATTGAAGCTTTAGCATCAGAAAATTTAGATGCTTCATTGTGTTGGAAGGTATTAACTAGAAATAATATTCTTATGAGCTATATATTTTTGCTCGGAAAAAATAGCGAGGAAACTGTAATTCCCGATCTTGATTTTTCCATTTTCATTTTTCTGCAAATGGCATATAAGGCGAAGTTATGAATTCCCTACTAGTTAAGTATCCTTGTCAATCAAAGTATACTTTTTGGGACTAAAAAACATATGAAAGAACACTAACATCATGTTCTTGTTCTGTTTCATCAAGATTAACGTAGAATTCATCAAAATCTCATCTTCATAATATTTTCAGGACATTGGATGGTTGAAATCCATTACAAGCTTACCAATTCTGATTAAAGGAATTCTCACTTGTGAAGATGGTAAGACTATGAATACGACATCTTTAATTTTTATGAATGTGACATCTCTGCAGATATAAAACCTTTGGTGAATAAAGCTGGACTTGTATCTGTCAAAAAAATTTATTTTGTTTGTGAAAGTGTTTTGAAGTAGAAAAGCAGTTGGCCTCTTTTGTACGACTATTGTTCTTATTGAACTTTCATCTAAATTCTTGCTACTGAATTCATAACTTGTCTGCTAATGTGTGAAGCAATAAAAGCAATGGAAGTAGGTGTTGCAGGAATTGTTGTTTCCAATCATGGTGCACGCCAGCTAGATTATAGTCCCGCCACAATCACTGTTCTAGAAGAGGTAATTCTCTGTTCTCCACATACACTGTCTACTGTAAATTGATCTATTAGTCTTTAGATTATATAATGCCTTGTTGGATATTGCCTTCTGGAACTCTTAAACAATTTGATCTGATCGAGTTTGCTTAAATGTAGCACTCTAGTCTACGTGATAGTCTTTTGGTGTGAAAACATCATAGATTTTGTAAATCGTATGGCTGCAGGTGATTCTTGCTGTTCAAGGGAGAATTCCAGTTCTTTTTGATGGAGGAGTGAGGCGGGGAACAGATATTTTCAAGGCCCTAGCTCTTGGAGCACGAGCTGTTATGGTAAACTTATTATCCTATCATCCAAGTTACATTTAAGGGTTCAACCACACAAGATTAATGACTGTGATTTCATTTAATACATGCAGATTGGACGGCCAGTTATATACGGGTTGGCTGCAAAGGGAGAAGATGGGGTGAGACGAGTACTCAGTATGCTGAAGGATGAACTTGAGCTCACTATGGCCCTGTCAGGCTGCAGTAGCGTGAAGGACATAACGAGACATCATGTGATGACTGAGCAAGAAAGACTCCACTGCAGACTCTAGTTTATCACAACGGCATTGTGGCAAACATGTCCTAAAGAGTATTTGTTTCTCTTTTAAATGTTTCGATTCTATTTACGTTTGTGCACGGACATTTTACATGCAATTGCTTGTATTTATGTGCTACCAATTTGGCAATCGTGACATCTTGACTTGAATCAGAAATTGAATAATTAGTTAATTACCAATTCATGAATGTACGTGTTCTTAAATAATAATTAAAAAAAAATCAATTTTTTTTTCAAATAATCATAACCAAACCTCTCTGATATGTTTAAACAAAGGTATTTCGTTTGGCAGCAGTTGATGTTAACAAGTCGATTATCAAAGAGCACAGGTTAGACGACCTTCAACGGGATCTGTAACAATACTGCTTATTGAGCAACTAATTAAACATTCATAAAAAGAAAATACACCTAGCAATAATTAAACATTTCATTACAAACATGAAAAAAAGGCAGTCTTCACTCTACAAACAATACTTAAAAATGGGAATCTCACCTTCCAGCTTAATGTTAAAGAAAAGATCGTGTACTTTTACCCTTAACATACTTTCAGCATCGATTATTAGGTAACAGGCGTATGCAAGGAAATATAACCGTTTCGTTCATGCTCTGAAATCTCTATCCAAATACTTTATTTCCAGTATATATCAATTCCCTTGTTGATCTAAACAGCAACCAACTGCCAGGCAAAATCACCGAGAGGGAACTGGGACGAGAAATGATATATGGCACCCGCAAAAATGAAGATCGAGTTCTTCATAATAACTATGCATTACCAACAGAGTTATTTTTATTGACACCTGGCAACTCCATGGAAGAATTGGTGATACTACCTACCGAACCCATGGTCTGTGAGCTCAACTGAGGACTTGCTGGACAAGCTTCTGCATTACCTGCACTCATTGGATGTATAGCCCCTGAACTAAGTTGTGGGCTCATCGGAGTTCTCTGGCTGATTTGTTGGGGACTGGCCTGTTGCTGCTGCTGATTCTGATTCTGATTCATATGATGGGGAATTCCCATGCTTGATGGTGAACCCACCTGTGGAGGTGAAAGAACAGCCTGCAGTGGTGATGTCGATTCCTGCTGCTGCTGGATTTGCATCTGCTGCTGAAGCTGCTGCTGCTGCTGCTGCTGCTGAAACTGCTGCTGCTGTTGCTGCTGAAGCTGCTGCTGGTTCATGTAAATATTCATCCCTGGCATCACCTTTGGTGGACCCATTGCCCCCATAGCTGGGCGTTGCATCTGATTGATATTAGCTCGATTCAGAGAAGGGCCCAGCATAGAAAGACCAGCAGATCCTGGGTGCATCTGTCGACCTCCAGCCATACCATTGATGCTTGCTTGTGGGCCCCCCAACATATTTGATCTGTTTGGACCGAATCTCAGCTTTGCCATGATAGCAGCTTGTGTAAGCGTCGTCCCAGAACGTAGTGCATTGCTAAGATTTGAAGCCTGGGCCAGATTCATTGGGTTCTGTGTCATGTTACCTATGTTTGAAATAGACCCCATTGGTGAAGAAATTCCAGTTCCACCCACTCCCCTCATGCCCCCTATACCCATGACATTGTTCAAGCCTCCAAGCCCAACCATGTTATTGCCAATGTTGCCCATACCTACAGTTCCAAGGCCACCCATAATTTTTCTCTGCATTTGTGGCTGCTGTTGCTGTTGCTGTTGCTGTTGCTGCTGCTGCTGCTGTGGTTGCAGCTGCTGCTGCATCAGCTGAAGTTGGAGAGATGAGGGTTTATTTGCCATATGAGCACCCAACTGCATATTTGCATTCTGCCCAATAGTGTTCAAATGTGGCATAGAATTTGGGGAAAACACCATAGGTGATCTTTGGTACTGGGGATGCTGCTGTTGCATCAAGGACTGCTGATGTTGTGGTGATGGTTGCTGCTGCTGCTGCTGCTGCAGAGAAGGCAGTAATTCAGGTTGTTGAGGCCTGGATGTCATTGAAACCCCTGGCAAGAGTCCTTGAGAGATTTGCATCACCTGAGCATTTCCAGAAGGTGACACCATTGGTGGGCCTTGTATATTCTGAGATGTACTAAATGATACATTGCCACTATTACTTGGTTTGGCAATATCATTGGATGGGAGGCTAGAAACTCCATCAGAATACTGCTGCATCTCCACTGGAGTGCTACCTGAAGGGATTTCCCGACCATTAAGTTGACTGGTCGAGGCTTGATTAATGCGTACTGGTTTTGGTTGAACATGATCTTCATGATGATATCCTTCACGTATCATCTGCAAAAGCGAATATCAATAATTGAGTCTTATCCAACTCAAATGCTCAACAATAAATAATAAAAAGACTAACAAAACATACCAGTGAACAGAACTGCTCAGCAAGAAGGTCCGCAATGTGCTGCAGGAATTACATGGCATGTGTCAGAGCCACAAATATACATTACTGAAAGGGATCAACAATATATGGAAGAGATGAGCCTTTCTATGGCAAGATGGAATAAGAAACTTTATGCCAAGAATCATGTCCCCCGTCCTTTTGGAATTTGTTGAGATTGAGCCCATCTATCTAGATCTTAGGGCTATGTTTGGTATGAAGGGAAGTCGGTAGAAAGTCCGGTTATTAAATTTCCCGTTGCATGAGGAAATATATCTTCCCTCACTTGTTTCCTATGGTTGGGGAAAAGTGGAAAGGGTCCAATATTTAGCATGTTTAGTTAATTAATTTCATTTAAACATTTGCCACAAGTTGCTTGCAATACATTTGAAAATTCACTTTTTATACCTCCCAGAATTTCCCACCAAGCTTCCAACCAACCAAGGGAAGGTTGATCTTCCTTCCACATTCCTGTCATCTCGGTTCCACTCAACTTCCCTCCACCAAAATAGTACATACAACCCGTAAATTTTCCGTGTGTGTGCATGAGTTTAAGTTAACAAGCATCTGTGTGCCCTTCTCTCCATCCATTGGCTTCTACTGAAGTTGCCAGCTTGTTTGTATGTCAGTTCTGAAGGGAGAACCTTGCTGCATATTAGATATATCCATGCAAAACCTACCAAGGAATATAATCTAACATACTTCTTTACTATGGGTTCAAAAGAGAGAGGCTTCTCCCAAAACCTACCTAAGGCATATGATGTGTATGTGTGGGGTTTTCCCTCCCCATTTGTTACCGTTAGTCACAAGCTTGTTGTAGTTGGTTCTAGAGGGCAAACACTGCTTCATACTGGCTATATCCCCACTAGACCTGCCAAAGAATTAGTACCACCATAAATGCTTTCTTTGGGTCAGCCCCTCCCTCCAACCCTCCCTCCCTATGTGCCTGCGTGCATGTCAAAAGGGGAAAATTTCTGACATTGGATCCAAAATAAGTGGAGGGAAGGCTTATATGTTTGACATATATATGAAACAAATAAATTGTCTGGAACACAATCTGTTCTGTGAACCAAAAGAAACAAGTATATAGACTCACAGTATTTGGCAATGTTGGAAGGTGATCCTCTGCAGCCAAATAGTCAGCATCCTCTATTTCCCCGATATGAATTGCCACAGAACCATCATTCGGCTTCTCTGACATGATCATCCTAGTTTGTGCCTTTGGAACAAGTTGAAAACCATTACCTGACAGACACGGTGAAAGGATCAGTTTATCATCACCAAATGCTACCTAATTAGGAATTTGCAGTCAACGAACCTTGAAGAATGCGCTCTGTCTGCACAAAGATTAAGATCCTTGTCTTGGGAACATTCATGTTCCCACCTACAAGGGACCTTGATAATGGCATTTTACACGTTTCATCTTTCAAATTCTCATTGTTTGAATCACTGGAAAGATGAAGCGCCAGCTGTTGAGCAGAATACGTCGGTTTCCTGATAGGATACTGATCAACCTTGTTCTTTTTGCTGTTAAGTTGATACCTGAAACAGAAAAGGAAAATAAAATGAACAATCGAGAAAAAAGGGCCTGTTCAACATGATATTCAAGGAACAAATCAAGACAGACCAACATTTTATGATAAATTATTCTCCTTAGACAGTTCTACTTGGGAACTTCTCACAAAAGGCAGTATTAAAGTTATACTAATTATATGGGAAGAGCTATAATGTTCTACTCCACTTGCACTACACAGAAGCCTAATTGGTTTCTGCCCTTTTTATTTACTTCGATATATAATTGACAGGTCAGAACCCATTCACTAAGTCTTCAAGCTTGTATGCACACTAGATTTGAAAGTAGTTGAGCTTTGACAACAGATATAAGGAGTGCACAAGAGGTACATTTATCCAATGTATGTGGTACAGGTCTAAAAATGATGGCAATCTGATTGACAGGAATACCTCTCAGTCACCATTTCAATCTTCGAGAACCTTTCTAGCATGGGTTGGTCGGCCAACTGAGCTCCAACAGGACTGTTTGCATTGACCGTGGCGTTCATGTTACTAACACTAGCTGGAGAACCAACTCCGCTAATTGCAGCAGTTTTTGTGAGAGAATAGGGTCTACGTTTTGCAGCCTGGTTTTGCCGTTGCATTGAATCATTAGCACTGGAAGTCAAAGACATGGTGCCACCAACACCACCGGGAGGAACTGATGTCGCTGCAGACTTTTCCTTTTGGGATGAGACAAGTCCACTAGTCACAACGCCTCCAAATTGAGGTCCCATTGAGCTGCTTGAGAATTCTCCAGATTTCGATGACAAGGGAGATTGAGGTAAACCTCCAGCAGAAACACGAGGACTTTGAACTAGTTTTCTCTTCTGGAATATATCCTCCTTTCTAGAATGATTCTCGAGAGGCTGACCAAGACTATTCCATGGATTCTGGGGGAAACCAGTTCTCCCAAATTGCTGTGGCATTCTTTGCTGTAATCGTGACTGATCAATATGGGTTATTTCTGATTCTGCCATATGAATCCGACTGAGATCTGTCTTGTTGTCCAATCTCTCCGTCTCAATTGGTTCTTCCTTTAAACCATATCTCATTCCTTGTTGTCCAGAAGTAAACGGCATTGCCCCAACATCCTGATTTAGACCTCCATCAAACATCTGCTGTGAGAACTTTTTCATACTATTATTGGTATACTGAATCCCTCTTGCAACTGGTTGCTGTTGCATTGATGCATTCTTCCAGTGCGAATCTGGTCCGTTGAAGCTGTCCATTTGTTGTGCTACATGTTGACTACCATCAACACCTGTAGCTGTAAGCCTACCCCTCTTGCTTGAAAGTGGAGATAGTTGCCCATCTTGGTTCTCTCTTTTGCCATGAACAGAAGAAGTGCCATTATCAGTGAGTGGGATCATATCCTGCCCAGCAGGTGAAGCTATTGATGAATTAAATGGAGCTCCAGACCGCTGATCCTGCAGAAGACTTGGGCTCCCAACCCCCATTTGATATTTAGACTGGGGGGATACCAGAGAAGATACTGAAATGGAGACATCTGACCCAAAGCTGTTGGTCCTTAGTGGAAACATTGCGCTTGAAACATTATTTTGAGTGTTCAAGTTCTCATGTATAGACTGCTGCATCAAGGATCCCCAGTCGCCCGACCTTGAACTTTCTGGCCCTCTATCTATACATACCATTTTCCCATGGATCTTATTATTCGATGAGACTATAGCTTCTCGAATCTGCCTCAATCTTTTTCTCCTCATGCTGTGCACTGCCAAATTTAACTGCAAACAAGGTGCAACATGTTAAAATCCACGATATCCTTACTACAAAAATAAGATAAATCAAGTTGCATATGCACCTTAGTGGGAACAGGGTTATCATTGAGTCTATCCAGCTTCGGACTTGGATCCAAGCAAAGTTGTGGTTGTAGGGCTTTCAAAATCCGGGCCTCCACTTCCTACACAAAAACGTCATAAGACACCATCTCCTTCTGGTGCATGCAATGAGAAAAATGGTTCACTTACCATCAGATCACCATATGTCCAACCATGGTCTGAAATAGATGGAATATCCTTTACTACATTTTCCAACGACATTCTAAGACGCACTCTATTGACTTTAGGTAAAGCATCCCCGGAAGCCAGAGGAACTCCTGTTTCAGAAGAGCACTTCCGGTAATCTCGCACCTGCAGAAGTAACATCCCACGTTACAAATTGTCTAAACCTAGCATGGACTCCATTTCCCATTCATTTTATCAAGTGATGGACAAATAAAGAAGCAAATGAAGTAGACTGATCAACCATGCTATTATGGTTTGAATGCCTAATACGGTATGGCCGGGAGCAATACGAAATGAAAATTGAAAGCAAGTGAAGAAAGCACAGATTAACCATGTGATGGATTAAACACAAATCAGTAGTCAAGGGGAAAAGTGCACAGTATAATTAGGTTCTACACGCCCAACAAAACAGAATTGCTTGAACCACCCAGGAGAATGGAAAGGAATTACCAACACAACAGCAGGACAGGACTACCAATTGGTCGGAACGAGGCAACAGGAATGGCACTCACCCCCCACAAATGTGAAATTGTTGAGAGAAGGGTACAATCTTGAAAAGCTTACTAAAAGGATATAAAGAAAAATAAAGGTTTTTAATAATTAGTTTTTAGAAAAAAAAAATGTTGGGATATAGTAATAAGGCTTCAGAATTCTTTCCAATATCTTTTGAGGGGCAGGCAGTTTGCAAGCATGCTTCATATGCAATAATTGAATCATTAATAAATTGACATAACAGCATCTCTTCATGGAGATTTACACTCCAATTAATAATGCAGATTAGAAATTCTTTCCAGATGAAGATAAGTATCTCACACTATATTTTGCTTTAAAGTTCTTCAGATAACATACCTCACAGACAAGTGTCCCTTCAATGTACTTGCATGGTATATCATCCAGAATGTCTCCAGGCAGTCGCCCGGATTCAATTGCCTTCATATAGCAAATTGCATAAATACAATTAAAAATTTCTACAAAAAATTCCGCTGTACAAATCATTGAAGATAAACTATGGAACTGTAGATAAGCAATGAAATGCACGGTGCACAAAAACAATTTTTACAGAGAAAAATTATTGCCATCACAAGCAAAGATCTCTACAAGATATATAATCTATGAAGCTATTTATAGTTAAAGATTTATATCCTCCACCAAGCCATTTGTGTGGTTGATAAGTAGGCATGCCACGATCATCATGGGAGGAAGAGTCATTCAAGAACACTAAATCCTAGCAAGCTGTAAATTAATACTGTCTCTCGAACACGCGTGATACGCCGTCAATTTCAAACACTAAATTTAGTGATTCAAATCTTTTTGTAATATACTTCTGCACATTAAATCTATACAACGAGAATGGCCTATATCAGTGTTCAAAGACTCGACCAAGTCAGAACTGGAATGGCCATGACTGTTCTACTGTTCCATCGCAGCGCCAACTTGTTGCATTTTTTGTTTTCTCCACTCAGGAAAAAGGCAGGTGCATTCGAGATAAAAAATCAAAACTTGATGGATTCTTATCTTATTCTGTTTCATTATTTGAGACCCACTGATTCTATTTATGTGTCATTGGATGGTCAAAAGTGAAAAAGTTACATTAAATAGTTCTCCACTAATGTGTTATGCATATTGTAGGTCTATTATTTGTTCTTCAGTAATATCAGTTATGAACATATCAGTTATGAACAAAGAGGTTTCTAATTCAAAGCTTTTGATTCTTTTAAAAAATAAATATTATATTTTTGACCCAATTTTTTTGTATTAATTGTTCAGTTTTCATGTCATTAACAACTCCCTCCATTTCACGACTGAGTCTAGCTTGGACGAATATTTGAGGAGAGGTGGAGAGGGTATGACTTGAATCGTGTCAAAGGGGGTCAGCTTATGAAATAAAAATTCTCTCTCAGTTTCCAACACTCACACCCCTCATAAAAACCACTAGAAAGCCACCACCGTTTCCACACCCCCTCTCCCCCGGTGTGATCTGCCAAAAAGCCAACTGACATGCCACCATATTTCATCAACTTCACAAGCAAATTACCTCTTCTACTGAAAAAGGTTGTTGTACACCACAATCCATCCCCAGGGTGGGGACGACAGAAAGAAAAGAATTGCTACCTAAAACATTCCAGACCACTCCAACAAAACTTATCAATTTACAACTAGGATATCGAAGAGAAAAAGGGAAGAGAAATAGAAAAGGAAAGATATTATTTGAACCATCCAAACCCAAAAAGACCATCAGATACTGCTATAGCCGCAGGTATTGGCCTCCCAGTCTTATTTATAGAATAAAGAGCAGATCAATTTATAAATCTACATCTAAGAAAAATGACAATCGTTTTTAACCTTCCGCTTCCCTCCCTACATCATCTTGGAGGCTGGAGGCATCTAGGATTGACTTTTCCGTGATTTGCCTCTTCTTAAAGATTCAATTCCTGCACGCGATTTTCAAATTTTGGAGTGACTCTAGAAGGTCAAAATGATGACAATAGGTGTTGGTGACAAAGGAGCGGAGCGGTGCGGTGCAGTATGGGATGGTGGGGATTATGTCCGTAGAGTGAGAAATGTGTTTCGGGAGCCTTTTTTGGGAAAAGAGAGAACGGACAGCAGATTATCTGAGAATGAAAAACAAGATTTTCTCCTAATCTTTTAATGATAATATTGTTATTTTAATGGACGCTATTTCGGAAAGAGGGAATTAAAAAGTTTCCATTTTGAGTAAGTGGCAATTTCATTAAAATATCCGAAAAGAAAAAGCAGCAATACAATATGTAACGGAATCATATTAGGTCAGTCACATAAAATTTTCATTGCTTGGAATCTATAATGCAACGACACTGTCCAATATGTGTTGTGTTGTGTAGAGAGCAGCGTCAATAATCAAATTTAATTTCCAATTAAATAAGGCATCTTAATTGCAAGAATCCCTCAGCTCAACATAAGCTTAGCATTTCATGTGTTTCCAATAGCAAGAATAGCATTAATTCCAATGTATAGTAAGCTGTAACTAGATTTAAATGAAGTATAAGATGTGCTATATGCATAGGTTCTGTAAATCAAACCTACAAACCGCATTACATACCGAGAATAGAGTTTCAGATGCTCTATCGTATGGGTGCAAAAACTTTGGAACATCAACAGCAGTCTGATGACCAGATTCAATCTGAAAATTTGAAATATAATTGGAGTCAACACCACTTCCCAACAAATATCCGTTTTCTTGCATGGACTGTTTTATTACTTTCAATTCACCTATTAAAGTGATTATAAACACACCTCCATTGGTTTCCCCACAGAATATCCGTCTGGGAAAAGGCTAAGAGTGAAGGAAACATCATTATCTGAAAAAATAGGGGACAAAATGTTCAATAATCAGAAGAAAAACCAAAATAATTAGAACCAAAAAGGTGTGGAAAAATATCCTTACCAAATGGACCTAAAGAAAAGTACTTCAGAAACTACTACTTACCAGAGATTTCGGTAACACCACCATTCTTACCAGCCTCTACCTGTAACTCAAAATTATAATTTATCATCGTAGAGTAGAGAACTTTTTGCAAGAATATAAAGATCAAACTGATAAATTCAAATTTCCTCCTCATATTTTAATCTTTCAGGATCCAAATTGACAAGTTTTTTTGCAAAATAAGCTAAATTTATAATAATAATAATAATAATAATAATAATAATAATAATAATTGCAGATCTGCAAGTCATTATCCAAGATCAAACTCGTTTCCAAAATCAAACTCGTTGTTGCAATTCTGAACAATTTTAGTTTTTTTTTCAATTTTCGACATTAAAAATTTTCATCATTCGTATTAAAAATCAAAGATAAACCCATATCAAGAAGGTTAAAATTCAAAGAACCGATTAAAAACCCATATCAAGAACAAAAATTCAGCAAACTTTACATCCACAAAATAAAATCTGCACAGGATTAAAATAAAAAACTCCACAAAAAAAATATTAAAATTTCAAAAGCTTGGAATGAGGATAAACTCATTCTACAAGCCCTCTGTATGTATCTGCTCCAACCATAATTCCATTGATACCAAAGCATCAAACTTTTTTCTGATTATAAGTCGTACCGTGAGATTTCGAGTCGAAGTGGAAGGGGGGTCGCTTTTGTTAATTGAGGATGAGATTAAGATGTCTTCTTCTTCTCCTCTTCCGACAGGGGTGTCTGATGCGAGCGGTTTGGGGCGGAACCTCTTACCGGTTTTAGAAACCTTAAACGAAACCCCCATTTCTGATCGATTGATATCTTACAAAAAAATTTCAGACAAACATGGTAGCACTGATGTATGACAGTGGTAATTGGGTCAAATAGACTGTTTCATAATATAAATTGGAATTTTAGCCTTCGACCATAATTATATTTTAAAAATAAATATTTTAAATCATAATTTTTAAACTATTTAATCTATCCTCATTCAACAACACGTAAGTTCCCATTTTCTCACATCAATTGAATCCCCAAAACCCTATCTTCCCTATTTTCCCAAATCGTTCATATCTGCATTTCTTTCCCCAATCAGTTCCTCACCGTTCATCTCTGCATTTCTTTCCTCAAACTGTTCGTATCTGCATTCGGTTGCCTTGATCTTGGCCGTCCGATTCGTCTCTACATTTCTCTCACCAAACCAAGTCTCTGTCAACTCACTGTATTGTAAGTACAATGATGCCGTCAAGTTTGAAATTTGTTAACGGGAAGACTTGAATGAGGAAGATGGAGAAAAGGGGTTGGGGACCGCGTCAACGCGTGGTCACGATGGAGCAAAAGGGGGATTTTTTTACGATGGCTAAATTAGAAAAATTGCAGTCATACGATTAAAACGTACATGCGTCATTTTAGGTATCCAAAACAGCAATCGGCTGAATCAGTAGAACTGAACACTAAATTCGTAGAAACGTCAGCTATGCGTTTAAAACGGCAACATGCCGTTTTGGGTCAAAAGGTCTCGACTTGTGGGGGGCTGAATGAACGAAAGTGCGAATTGAATACCGATCTAGAAAAATCGCAGCCATACGATTAATGTTGGAAAATAAACTTGATTTTGGAGTAAGTAATATGAGTTTAAGAATTTTGCTCATAGGCCCAATTCAAAGGCCCAACAAAGTCTAGCATTTTCTAGAATTATATTATAGAAAGACCCATATAAATATCTAAGTAATAGATAAATATGCATTATACCTAGAATACTCTAGGAAAATATCTAGTCCAAATATGAAATCTAGAAGCCTCATGAAATCTTATGGACTAGAATTCTCTAGATTAATGTGTGGTCTAGAAGTCTCATGTAAGCCCTATATAAAGGGGTAGAGTCCCTCCATTTTGTAAGAACAAGTCAAGTCAAGTGTTGTAAGTGTTGAAGTTGAGAAATATAAGTTACATTTTATTTACCTCTTCCTATTAGTATTGTCCTTCCTATCAAGTCTTAGCCAAATCAAGTTGGTAAACCCCTCTTTCCTCCAACAAACTGGTATCAGAGCCCTAAGGTCCTTGTGAAAAATGGCAAGTGGGATGATTCCTTTTCAAGTCCCTCAACTTAACAAGGATAACTACGACAATTGGAGCATAAGGATGAAGGCATTGCTCGGGTCGCAAGATGCATGGGAGATCGTAGAGAAAGGCTACACGGAGCCACATGACGAGGTCACTCTATCCCAAGCACAAAGGGATAGTTTGAAGGATGCAAGGAAGAAGGACAATAAGGCGCTCACCCTCATCTATCAAGCCTTAGATGAAGGCATGTTCGAGAAAGTAGCTTGTGCTACTACGAGCAAGGAAGCATGGGAGATCTTGCAAAACTCCCACAAAGGAGTTGAGAAGGTGAAAAAGGTTCGACTCCAAACACTTCGAGGTGAGTTTGAAGCTTTACATATGAAAGAATCGGAATCAATATCTGATTACTTTTCAAGAGTATTGGCCATTGTGAACCAATTAAAGAGGAATGGAGAAAAGTTGAGTGACACTAGAGTAATTGAGAAGATACTTAGGTCTTTAGATTCTAAATTTGACTACATAGTTGTAGCCATTGAGGAATCTAAAGATCTAGATAGTATGAGTGTCGATCAACTCATGGGATCTTTACAAGCCCATGAGGAAAGACTAAAGAAGAAGGTGAAAGAAGAGCCATTAGAGCAAGCTCTTCAAACAAACCTCACTTTGAACAAGGGTGAAGGAAAGTTCAGCAGTAGGAGAAGCCAAAGAGGAAGAGGACGGGGCCAAAATCAAGGAAGAAGTGCATTCTACAAGGAGGAAAGAAGCCTAAGCTCGTTTTCCACTAGAGGTTATGGAAGAGGAAAAGGTACGAGGCAAAATGAAAGGCCAAGGTATGACAAATCTCAAGTTAAATGTTACAATTGTCAAAAATTTGGCCATTATGCTTTAGAATGTAGAAATGGTAATAACCAAGTCAAGGAGAAAGCCAACTATGCTAGTCAAGAAAATGAAGTGGATCCTACACTATTGATGGCATACAAAGGTGAAGAAAGCAAGGAAATAAACACTTGGTACTTGGATACGGGAGCAAGCAACCATATGTGCGGAAGAAGAAACATGTTCGTGGAGCTCGATGAATCGGTAAGCGGCAATATTACTTTTGGAGATGAATCGAAGATCCCCGTGAAAGGCAAAGGTAAAATCTTGATTCGCTTGAAGAATGGTATGCATCAATTTATCTCAAATGTCTACTATGTGCCCAATATGAAGAATAATATTCTGAGCTTGGGACAACTCTTAGAGAAGGGCTATGATATTTATTTGAAAGATCATAGTCTTTCAATAAGAGATCAAAGAAAAAATCTGATTGCTAAAGTCCCTATGACAAGAAATAGAACGTTTGCATTAAGCATTCAAAATGATGTTGCTAAATGCTTAAAAGCTTGTTTTAAAGATTCATCTTGGCTTTGGCACTTAAGATTTGGGCATCTTAATTTTGGGGGCTTAAAGTTGTTAAGTAAGAAGAAGATGGTAAAAGGTTTGCCTCCAATAAATCATCCGGATCAATTATGTGAAGGATGCTTACTTGGGAAGCATTCGAGGAAAAGTTTTCCAAAAGAAGCATCTACAAGAGCTAAGAAGCCGCTAGAACTTGTACACGCAGATGTTTGTGGGCCAATCAATCCAAGCTCTCTCGGTAAGAACAATTACTTTGTTCTCTTCATTGATGATTTTAGTAGAAAGACTTGGGTCTATTTTCTCAAACAGAAATCGGAAGTTTTTAGAACTTTCCAGAAGTTTAAAGCTCTCGTTGAAAAGGAAAGTGGCTATAGCATAAAAGCCATGAGATCGGATAGAGGAGGAGAATTTACCTCCAAAGTGTTTGAGAAATATTGTGAAGAAAATGGAATTCGTCGCCCATTAACGGTTTCATACTCTCCACAACAAAATGGAGTAGCCGAAAGAAAGAATAGATCAATTCTTAACATGGCCCGCTGCATGCTCAAAAGCAAGAGATTGCCCAAAGAACTTTGGGCCGAAGCTGTTAATTGCGCTGTATACCTATCTAATCGATCTCCTTCTAGAAGTGTGTGGAATAAGACACCACAAGAAGCATGGAGTGGAAGGAAGCCCAGTATCTCTCACCTGCGAGTATTTGGGAGCATTGCATATGCTCATGTGCCGGATCAAAAGCGGTCCAAGCTAGATGATAAGAGTGAAAGGTATGTCTTTATCGGCTATGACTCTCGCTCCAAAGGCTACAAACTGTATAATCCAAGCAAGGAGAAGATTATCATAAGTAGAGACGTCGAGTTCAATGAAGAAGGAGATTGGGATTGGGGTGTCCAAGAAGAAGACTACGACTTCTTGCCATTCTTTGAAGAAGAAGAACAAGAGAATGAAGAGCAGCAAGAGCCTACCAGTCCACCTCTATCACCTGCTCATGGAGATGCTTCACCAGTATCTTCACAAGGAGAAAGCTCAAGCGAAAGGACACCACGGATGAGGAGCCTACAAGAGCTATATGAGGTAACAGAGAATCAAAATAATCTCACACTTTTTTGTCTTTTTGCCGATTGTGAGCCAATAGGGTATGAAGAAGCAGCGCAAAATAAAAGATGGAGATATGCCATGGATGAAGAGATTAAAGCTATTGAGAAAAACGATACATGGGAGCTGACGACTCTTCCCAAAGGAAAAAGAGCAATCGGAGTCAAGTGGGTGTACAAGGTAAAGAAGAATGCTAAAGGAGAAGTGGAGAGATACAAAGCAAGATTGGTTGCCAAAGGCTACAACCAACAGTCGGGGATCGATTTTGAGGAGGTATTTGCCCCTGTTGCTCGCTTAGAAACCATAAGATTAATTATCTCTCTTGCCGCGCAAAACAAGTGGAAGATTTTTCAAATGGATGTGAAATCAGCTTTTCTAAATGGTTATCTTGAAGAAGAAGTTTATGTGGAGCAACCAATGGGATATAAAATAAAAGGGCATGAAGGTAAAGTCTTAAAACTCAAAAAGGCTTTATATGGGTTGAAACAAGCTCCAAGGGCATGGAATAGTAGAATTGACAAGTATTTTCTAGAAAATGACTTCACAAAATGCCCTCACGAGTATGCCCTTTACACAAAGGTAAATGAGAAAGGAGATATCTTGCTTGTTTGTTTGTATGTGGATGATCTTATATTCACAGGAAATAATCTAAGCATGATCACTGAGTTTAAGAAGGCCATGGCTCAAGAATTCGAGATGACAGATATCGGTCTTATGGCCTACTATCTTGGGATTGAGGTAAGGCAAATGGAGGATGGCATCTTTATCTCACAAGAAGGGTACGCGAAAGAAGTTCTAAAGAAATTCAACATGGCGGATTGCAAGCCTGTATGCACCCCCGTCGAATGTGGAACCAAGTTATCGAAGTATGATGAATGTGAAAAAGTGGATCCAACACTCTTTAAGAGTCTTGTCGGAAGTCTAAGATATTTGACATGCACAAGACCAGATATCCTCTTTGGAGTAGGGCTAATCAGTCGCTATATGGAGATACCCACCATGACCCATATGAAAGCTGCAAAGAGGATTCTTCGCTACATCAGAGGTACGCTTGACTATGGTTTAATCTATTCATCATCTAATGAATTCAAACTTGTTGGCTATAGTGATAGTGATTGGGGCGGAGACATTGACGATAGAAAGAGCACTACTGGATATGTATTCTACTTGGGCAACACTGCATTCACTTGGAGCTCGAAAAAGCAATCGATCGTCGCGCTATCTACATGTGAAGCTGAATATGTTGCAGTT